CACCCATTCACTGCAGAGCATCCATTGCTGAGACACTGATGCAATGCTACATTTCTACAAACCTGATGAAGAAACGTGATTAATTTGTCAGGCAAGCTGATTTCTTCATTTTAGGGTGTTTTAGAGCAGTGTTTCTCAACCAGGGGTCCGTGGACCCCTAGTGGTCCTTGACATAAGGCCAGGGGGTCCGTATAAAGTATACATTTTTGTATAAATTTTGTATATTTTGACATGACGTTCCCATGAAAGAAAAATCCAATATAGCTGATGATATGGCCAAATACTGGACAAGTCAGCTAACTTGAATTATACTTGACTGCATTTGGTCCTCACAAAGACACAAATGATACGAGTCAATTTTGTTCTGGGGGTCCTTGAGGATGGTTCTGAATTGGACTGGGGTCCGGTACGCCAAAAGGTTGAGATTCACTGTTTTAGAGCATGGTGTCGTCGTGATTGTTCTAATCACCTGTGAGTGCTGGTGATATCGTCTTGTCTATGAACTCCGATGGTTTCTATATTCTCTGTAATTTCCCATGTCTCTCTCCATCACAGCTCGGGGAGGCTGTTGCCATGGCGCTCACAGACATCACCAGGGAAACCAGATCTTCACAAGCCAGTGAGACTCAATGAGAGAATGTAGATAGAGTGTGGTAATGTAACTTGTGTAGTATATAGAGACAGCCCCACATCCGACTAAACTACATCTAAAACACTTCTGTTCTGACTTCTGCTTCTGATACTGAGATTCATGGAAGCCGGGTTCTGCCACAGAATAAAAAAAAAAAAAAAGGTAATTGTGATTTTTTTTTTATCTCTCAGTTCAGACTTTGTCGCAATTCTGAGAGAAAAAAAATCTGCCACGTGTACACTTTTTTTTTCTTGCATTTCCAAGTTTAAATCTCACAATTGTTTTATTATTATTATTATTATTACTATTTTTACCAGAATAAAAAATTTAAAAAAGGTAATTGTGACTTTTTATCCCATGAGTTATGAGTTTTTGTCTTGGAATTATGACCTCCTTCTTAGAATTGCAAGAAAAAAGTTCAAATTGTGAGACTTTATTTTTTATTTATTTTTTATCCTATGGCAGAAATGGGTCTCCATAGAGATTCGCCTGTAAGAGGAAAGCTGAAGCAGGCTTTATTGTATTAAAATCCTGAACTTTTCCCTGAAATGTTCTTTAATTCATTTTTCTTTGAAACAATGTACGGTGACTAGAACTATTCAAATAAAATTGACTTGACTACTTACAATGATCTTTCATCAGTGTGTCCCAGATTGACTGCTCTTAGTGTTTCTGCAGTATATAGTAAAGTATACACTGAGCATCCCATAATGCAATGTGCTTGACTTGACCCTTCATTTATGACCACTAAAGTGGAAATGAAATATATTTATAAAGTATACTTTAAAAAGATTAATATAGACTATAGTTAGTGTATTTTTTTTTGTTGCAAAATTGGATAAAAAAATGCACAAAAAGTTTATTGTTACACATTCATGGCCAATATTAATGTTTACATTCACAGATTGTGTATCTTTATAGTTTAATAATATTATAATATTTAATATTGTTGCATTAAGAGTTTTTAACAGCACTTCTCAAATATTCAAGCTATTATTTTTTTTATTTTGCAAAAATGAGCTCTACCCATTACGTGTTGAACAGTGAGCTTTTGAAGCATTATGTGTTTGTAATTATATTAATGCAACATATGTAATGACTATAACAGAAAAAAAACACAAAAAGGGGTAAACATGCAAAATAAACAAATGAAAAAATAAATGAAAATAAAATAAATTCTATAATTTAAAAAACGCATGATAATAATAATAATAAAGTAGTGAAAACATTAAGCAAACTAAACCGTATCAATAGAATCATTACAAAAAAAATCTAATTTTGTTTCAAGAATCTGTCACTTACTAGTTTAATTACTAGTTAAACAAAAAGATTTGAGAAGTGAGTCTACCTCAGTCAAAAAAATTTGAGAGAGCAGGAAGTGAGCATACAAAATTGTGGATATATTCCCTAGACTTGTTAGAAGTGTCAGTAACAAATAATATCTTTAAATTAAAACATTGAAAAAATTGGCATGTTAAACCAAAACGCTGAGAAAGATGCCGGTGGGCGGTGCTTAGGCGAACGTGGTGACGTATGTCGCGTGCGTCCTCCAATGAATTGTCGCGCCGAACGCGCAAAATTTGAATTCATCAGGAAGCGTTAAACGTTTCCACACAGAAGTCTGTCAGTGATGTTGATGTTCATCTAAACGCGATTAATCTACAATAATTCTCATTTACTGCCTCAAATATTCTCACATGAGCATTAGGTGAGCATATATCTAATCTTCTTTCAAACTGAGCTGAATGTGTTTGTTTAACGCGACCGTTATGAGCTCGACGGTAACGTAAATAACGAGGGAAATTGTCAAACTGAAACATTTCTGCTATAACCTTGTCAATAACGTTAATTAATCTCATTATGAGTGATTTCAGAAGCGATGTCAATTTAAATATTAAGCCTGTTTGTATAGCGATATGGTTAATTTGTTGTGTCATCGTCAAAATTTAGTTTGACGCGCGTCAGTTAATCAGTTTAACAGATTCACGTCACAAATACATTTAAAGTTTATGGTTTGCTATTAATAGTTTAGTTTATTTGATTAATTTGTTCTGATACTCCTTATAAATATTCCTGTCGTGTGACAAATTAAATTTAAAAATAAAATGTTTAAACCTGTGCAAGCACGGCTTTTAATGGTAGGCCTAAGATTTTTGTTTGTTGTTGTCTCATACTTTTAGATATGCTGTTATTTGTAAATGCTACTGCTTCTGTTAGCTTTTAATATACGGTTTTATTCTGATTAAAGCTTTAATACAGTTCGGCAACCACAC